GAGTTTGCTTTTGTTTCCAGTTTTAAGTGTGTTTTTACGATCTGCTCGGTAAAATTACTGTTTTTTTCATTGAAGTCTGGTCAGCCGTAGCACCCCTTGTTTTGGTCTGAGATTCTGGTGCTCTAGTGTTTCAAGTGAATTTATAACCTGGATATATGATCTTTAAATGTGAGGGTTTTTTGTTGTTTTGTCTTTTTTATAAAGTTCTAATATTATTAATGCAATTTAAGTGCATTAAGTGTTCATCAGAATTTAATTACATTTTTCAATTCCATTTTATTTGTATAGCACCAAATCATGAGAGTTAGGGCACTTAATATAAAGCAGGTCTAGACCATACTCCTTATAAAATTACATACAGAGACCCAACAGTTCCCACCCTGAGCAAGCACTTGCCGACAGTGATGATGATGATGATGATGATGATGACAATGATGATGATGATGTACTTGATAAAGAAAATAAATCTACAGTAATTTAAAGAATTCATGATTTGCAGTAAATGGATGAAAACATGAAAAAAGGTTTGCCTCCTCAGCAACCTCACTCTAGGTGTTTATATCCTGGCCCGTAGTGTCCCATCTCCATTTATAACATTAGTTATCACTGTAATGGTACTTGTCCTAGTGTGACTCCTCTATTGAAAGCTGCTCTCTGATGTTGCTCACAGGCTGTTCTACCTGATAGGCTCTACATCCTGTTTGCACACTGACAATCGCATCAGCCAAGTTCTGATTTATTTTCTTGGTACTCGCCTTGAACCTTTCAACCACAATCACGCTCTCTTTTACATCTTTCCATCTCTGAACTGAAGTGTTGCCTCCCTGCTAATGGACTCCCTACAGCACAGTGTCTTTTATTGTGAGGGTTTCTTGATCAAGTGCATGTTTCAATGCCACATATATGCAACATATAGGGAAAAATAGAAAGGATGAATTATACTTGTATGTGTTCAACCCCTTGATCATCAACATGCAGTGGCCTATTCAGACAGGAGGCGCATGCATATATCCATTTTCAACTTCTTTTCACATGGATACCTTTTTAAATGGCTGTGAGTTGAAAGGGTTGTCAACATGGGTCATTTTTTAAAATTTCAAACACATTCCTTGAGCATGTTAACACTGATAGCTCAAATCAAAATCATATGTAATAGTAAAATCACTGTGACACAAACAGCAGGGTGCTTATTCCCTTTTCAAGGAAATAATTTTTTTAGTGTCTTGCTTCTGACATTTGATGTTTTAAAAAAACATGTTTGGATATAACATGGAGGAGGGATGTTCAAAAGTGAGCAGGTTGGACTCTGAAAACATGGAAAGTGACTCAGAAGAATTTGATACAAGCATGTATCCTTTCTCAACACCTACATCACTCTGTTTTTGGAGCAGGCAGTTCATGCAAAAAAAACCCTCATGAGGGAAAAGAGTAGTATAGTCTGTGGTGTGAGGCCAATAGCCCGAACACGAATACAGTAAGAGCATAAAACCTCCACAGGCAGCCCACAGATGTCGTGTTGCTCTTTACACCCAACCTAAAAGTGAGTTGAACCAGCAGCCAATTACATAAAAGCTGCAATGTTGACTACTTTTGTTAAAAGTACAGTACCATTGACAAAAGAGGAGATGGAGATAAAGATAAACAGGTGAAGAGGAGGGGCATCCTACTTCTTGAGTGGGGTTAGTAGGCAGAATTTTATCCGTCTGTTGGTTCCACCACTTTGATCTAGACTAAAATATCTCAACAACTATTAGACGGATTGTCATGAAATTTTGTACAAACATTCATAGTCACCAGAGGATGTATTTCAATGACTTGGGTCACCTCTTGATACCCTGATAAAAGACTGATATTTGTGGTTTTGAGTGAAAGGTCTCCACCAATATTTGACCTACTGTCGTGAAATTTGGTACATTTATTTGGACAGTGGACATCCTTGTTCCCCACGGTTTAGAACTGTAACAACTTTGATGATCTTCTGACTCTTCAACTAATGCTTTTATGGGTACAACTGGCACCCCATGTACCAAGGCTGAGTCCTTGCTGCAGTGGCCATGGGTTTGACTCCGTCCTGTGGCCCCTTAGTGGATGTCATCTCCTCTCTCTCTCTCTCTCTCTCTCTCTCACTCTCTCTCTCTCTCTCTCTCTCTCTCTCTCTCTCTCTCTCTCTCTCTCTCTCTCTCTCTCTCTCCCCCTTTTCCTGTCACTCTTCAGCTTTTCTATCAGTTACAGGCAAAAAAAATAATTAAAAAAAATAAAAATGAAAATAATTATGTTTTTGTTTGTGGCGGTCTCGCATTTAATTTGTCCAATAACAATACAGCCTCACCAATACTATGCTATGTCCATACTGCTAGGTGCACTGGAGCATTAAGCAACAACAAAGGAGAATGTACTGTATTAGTGTTGTTAAAGGGCCAGTGTGAAGGATTTAATGGCTTCTAATCTTGAAGTTGCAGACTGCAACTAACTGAATGCCGCTCACATATGTATTTGATGACCTGGGAATGAGAGCGGGCTGTGAAGTGTGTAGGAGAAACTACAGTGGCTGCGAACCTTGCAAAAAAAATAATGAGAGAGGCCCACCAGTATTTGGTTTGTTCATTTTGGCCTAATGTAGAAACATGGTGGTTTAACATGGAAGGCGGCCCACGGCATCTGTAGGTAAAAACAGCTCATTCTCTAAGGTAACGAAAACACAGCGATTCGTATATTCAGGTGACTATACACTACCACTGCCAATAGATCATCCTAAATGTTACACAATGGACCATTAACCATCTTCTCACCCCAATTTGTAAGTGCTATATTTTAAATAAAAAATTGTCTGCTCGCATAAGGAAAGCATTCTTCCTGATAGGAGCATTGCCTTTCAGTTTGAGATGTCAATCCCAGTTGAACTTAAGAACAGACCTTTCTTGTAACAATAGAAATAAAATCATTAAATTGTGCAATGCTTTGTGACATATGTTTCTAATGACTGACCTATTTTGTGAGCGTGGACAGAGGCTGGAAACTGAGCTCCCATAGTACAAACAGAATTGATTTAATTATTTAATGTACTTTTTTTTGTCAATGAACTCAGTAAGCTTATGAGCATGATGAAACCACAATATGAAGCTGAGTGGCAGGAGACATGTTTGCTCAGATGTGTCATCAATCACTCCCAGGTCCCAAAATACATTTCACACTAGCAGCAAATAGAGAAGCAGAATCAGGTCACAGTGGAAACCCAATGAAATGCAGTTTAATTGGATAATGTCAGCGGACAAATTAAACAGTTAAACAAAAACAAAAAAAATAGCTACAATTGCTGGGTCAATTAAAGGGGAGCTCATCCTAATTTAACACAAGGATACACATCATTTCTCAAGGTCCCAACTTGTTTTGTCTGATGTAGGCCTACAACCCTGTCAGATATACTCAAGTGCCCATTTTAGTTAACTATTTCCACCATTTATCTATTCATTTCAGTTATTTCAACCACATATTCATTCCTTTTATATAACTATTTGAACCATTTATCCTTTAGGCCTAGGCTACTTTTAGCTATTTTAATCAAGCTAAGCTACCATTTAGCTACTAATTTTAACCATGTATTCATTACTTTTAGCTAACCATTTACACTTCTCTGCTCGCTTGCTAACTAGCTGTCATGCACTCTCTTAATAAGTAGAAAAACTTTTCTTTAATGAATTCATCATTTATATTTTTTTCAAAGTAATTTAGCTACTCCTCCGCGTACCCCCTGAGGTACAAGTACCCTTGGTTGGGAATAACTGCAGTGGATGCTTCAGACTGCAGGTCCCATTTGGTAAAACCTTCACTGTAATATCACATTATCCTGTATTAATCACATATAAGATCAAACTTTGATTCAAAATACTTTATCCGCCATTGTGGACCTCCATAACCTGGCTCAGAGAAAAGCAAACACACTAATTTCCAGGCATAAGATATCAAGAGGCTCATCCGTTTGGTTTGTACAACAAAAATAAACTGTTAGCCGAGCTGGATCTTTGACCCTGCAAAGTACAGTAACCATAGGGGATCTCCAGTGGATGTACTGTGATTTTTCCTCAACTACAGTCACTGGGATTAGATCCAGGTTTGTGTTTACTGTGGGGGGGGACTTTGCTTGGCCAGGATGACGGCTGGAGATGGACCCCCAAATACTGTGAACAGATTCCAGCTCTCCTATGTGGTGGGCTGCAGGCTGCGGTCTTTTATGGCAGATTCCCTTGAGGCAGGAGTATCTGAGAGAGACTGCAGAGAGGCACTGCTCAATGAGCAATTTATGTTCTCCACAAAGCTTCTTCTTTAGAGCCTGAAGGCAGGTCTTAATTGTTAGACGTGATATCTCCACTCCCCCTCTCCCTCTCCTCTTTCTTTGACTGTTTTCTTCTCCCTCCTCCCACCCACCCTCCCACCCTCCAGCTATTAGGAATTGGATTTGGAGCAGAACGATCCATTTAGTCTCTCTCCTCCATCTCTATCCCTCTCTCCTTGCTTCCACACCTCCTCTGTAGGTTTCTCTCATCAAAGCCCAGGCTTAATCTGTCTATTTTTACCTGAAGGAATGAAAGGAAGGGATGAGGTAATGCTTTTCCTGTCCATCAGGTGGGCAGTGGTGCATGGGCTCTCTGGTGTGTATAGTTTAGGGAGCTAGCACCACCATGTGGACTCAGAAAGTATTTACTATTATGAAAGAAATAGCAGGAAGGTACAGGCTGGAGAAATGTACTGGATGATCAAGTGTCAATAGGAAAAGACAAACAACTTAAACATAGACAGTATGAACACAATCTACAGCTGATTAAGTAAATAAAGCAATGATAATGTTTCAACAATGACAGCTTGAGAAGCACAGACCTCATAGTACTGCAAAAGTCAGAACACCTTGAGATGAATGTGAAAGAGGAGCTCCACCTAGTGGAAAAAGACAGTAGGTGACAACAACACAAAACTGAAAACAAATTATTTGTAAAATAAAAACAAGCTTTGATTTCTGCATTTAATTAAGATATTAAACATTACAGGAAGTAGCAGCCACAAGTTGCAAATTGTGCCAGTCCAGCGTAAAACCATCTGAGATCAGTATATAAATGTGCAGAGAAATGCACAGGCTTAGGAAACTGAAGATACAGTATGTGTAATATCTGTCTGTCTGAGGTTTAAAGAGAGGATTTGATGCTCCAAAACAATCCTCTTAAAAAGTTTTTCTAAGAAAAACTACACGGTTTTAAAACATTAAAATTGAGAAAACATAATTTTACCAAATAAAACAGAAAAAAAATATAGTTGGATGAGCTGATTGGTATCTAGGCAATAATAAAAACAGATATAATAATCCAAAATGTTTCCCAAGGTTTTTGGTTTGTATACCTATGGCAGTGAAATAAGGAATGATATTTTTGGTGCTTTTACCCAGTATTTGTTAACTTGTGTTTGGTGCAATAACATCCCAGCATGGTGTATATCCTGCTCCGTTTCACCTGAAATTAGGTTTCTATGTGTACTATGTAAATAAAGAGCAGCAGGATAGGGCAGTGTCCATTTGCCTGAGAACAGTGATAACCTTCAACATAAAGTCATGAAAGAAAAAAAACACCCCATATCAACCAAGTTTTTAAATATGTGTACTTCATACAAAAGAAAATAAATTTAAAATAAATATTTGCAGAGCAGAAAAACACAATATCATCTTAATATCGCAATGTGGACTAAAAATAAAGGAAGGCAGAGAACTGACATAAGTGACGGAGTAGAGATTCAGACTCTGGTCCATGCATACAAATCCTAACTACTGCGTTTCTCTCTGTCTATTCCTCTTTCTCTACCCGCACTTAAAGGCACAGAGGTGGTAGGGAAGTTGCAGCATGGGGAGATGCTGTTACATCATATAGAGTAGAGTAGTAAATAGAGTTGCTGGACTAAAGTCCATTCTTCAGTCGTCTTTGTTGTGGTTCTGGCCGTTGCAGCTTTTAGGTCGGCCAATGCAGAATTTGCGTGGATGGTTTTTAAAATCTAGGATATCCTGGACAAAGCGAGGGTGCTGGTCTATAAAATGATGAAGTTCATCTGGAAGAAGGCAAAAAAAAGAAAATGGTGTTAAATGTTGTTACTTAGATTATAAAATTATCGTGTTGTATCTTTTTCATTTGTTGGCAAATGATAAATTTAAGGTACAATGTGACGCATTTTCACATTAGATTGTTATTTGTTTTTCCATTTAGAGGTATTAATATAATTACTATGATGACTCCAGACCATTACAGAGGAGATTAGCAGCTTCCATTTGTCTGTATAGTTCATTTTGCTTTATGTGTATATGGGAAATATGCTGGATTGTTTTATGTTAAAACTTTGAAATGGTGCTTTATAGGACAACAGAGAAAGAGAGAGTGTACGGAAAAGCTTTGACAGTCTCTAGAAAAGACAGATGGCGGATGTAAAGGACCCTGAAAAAGTCCACGACAGACGGTACACATCCTCTTCAGTGAAGCCAACAAGAAATCAGATTTGATGGTGACAGCACGGATGAAGCGGGGACGATAGATGCTGTCAATCATCTCCACAAGGGTCTCATATACACAAAAGGTATCACATCATTTTGGACTAAGGTTGAAAAATGCCTAATGGCAAACAAACACTGGGGCTTACCATATGTCATCTTCTCTGTGTCAGGTCCATCAAGCGATAAAAAAACACCTGACAGTTCCACCTCTTTCACTCCCAACATTATCTCCAAGATGGCGGCAATCTCTTGTTCTAGGACTTCCCCGCTCTCCTCACTCTCATACATCTGCACAACAACATTTATTCTTAGTGCAATGATCTAAAACCTATGTTGAACCAGATTCAGCGGTGAATGTGCTCACCTTGAAGGCCAATTTGAGGGTCTTCATTGACTTTGATGGTCGATGAACAGTAGATAAAGCAATGACATAGTCTCTGATGTCTATCTGTCCATCTCCTTGCTGGAACAAAATGATTTTAGTGAGCATTTAAGTAGCATTTCATTATCATTTCATTAAAATTGGAATAATCTTTAGTTATATATCAACTGGACAAAGAACTTGCATTTTAATATAAAACATCATCATGCTAACTTTGTAATTCACTTTCAAGAACAGTTTTCTCAGCTGGTTTTTTCTACTAATGATCTGAAGTCACAATCACACAAATGTACACTTATTGACATTTATCAGACTGCAGATGCTCCACAAGGGGGAGCTGATCAGGCATTGTTACACATGAAGTCTACTGTATGTCACCTTCAAGATAGGAAAGTATTAGCCGTGGTGTAGACCGTAGGGTGTTTTAAATCAGTGACACTGTGTCCTTGTTAACAGATGTATATGTAATGTATATGTATATGTGCAATAACATGCACATTCAAGAAATGAATGAAAAAATATAATATTACTGGTGCCTGACCTTTCCCAAAAGTGTCTGTATTTATTTAAAAAAAAAATTATATTAATTACACAAAGGGAAAAGAAAAGGTGACCATCATTACTTATTTTGGCAATTTCACAAGTTATACAAAAAACAAAATGAACAGCCTACAGAACATAAAATTACATGGCTACATAAAAGTGATACTAATAGCAAAAGTAATAACAAAAAAAAGCACATTCTCTTTTAACAAAGAAGTAGAAAAGAGATCATTTAAAACCCTGCCTTGTCAAAAGAAAGCCAAACTACAACTGAAAATGAATAAACTACTGCCTGGACACTTTAAATGATAACATGTTAAGGTATCGGGAAGAGTAGCAGACGTCTCAAATCTAACTAGGATTTCTAAAAACTGTAATATCTTGTGACTCTGCAAGCATTTAGGACAATTAAACTATATTAATTAAATTGCACACAAAGTATACTTTGCTTTAACGTCCGGTGTGTAACATTTATGAGGATCTATAATCCTATAATAGTCACAGGAAAGTTTTAATGTGTAGATAAGGCCTCCTCTGGTAGCCACCGTAGGTTTATCCTACACACTTGGAAGGCTGAGCTGTATTTAAATAGTTACAATCTGCAACTTCAATGCTAGATCCCACTGAATCCTACACACTGGTCCTTTAAATATCAAGAAAATATACATGTATATCTGATCTACACTTTGGATTTCCACAATGGTTCACTTTAGGATCTCTTATGTTGTTACACAATTTAGCTAGATCAGCATCAATTTTAAATCTCTACTTTTAAACTGTTCTCTTTTACCAGTTTGTAAGCTTATTGTCTGTAATTATACATACTTGCCTGTATTATATTTTAAATTAATTTAACTTAACAGGAAAAAAACTGTATTGTACTTTAAATCTGTCTGTTTTTACCTGGTCAAAGAGGCTGTGGACTTGTGTGAGTGTGTCTGTAACTGGCAGGTTGAGGAATTGGGCAAAGTCCTCCAAACCCAGCCTGTCTCCCTGCATCTTTCTGGCTCTTCTGGCCTGCTCCTCCAGAACTTTCTCTGTAGTTCCTGCCCTCAGCCTGTCAATGCACAGCACACCAGAGAAAATACAAAGAAGTCACATCATGTAGCAATGTATTAGTTAGTCAGACTGTTAACCACATGTGTGACATATATGGAAACATGGTTTGTCACCGTCACTTTGACTGGACTGTAAAAATCTCACATATCTATGTTAAAGAGTGAAGCAGATATCTTAAAGAAAAAGCGTGAGTAGTGTTTTCATATTTTATTGTCTGCAACTATAGCATTTTGGCTTAGAATTATTGTTTTGGCCTAATCATGCAGTGTTATATATGTATATATAGTTTTATTTTTATTTTTAGTATATGATCAAAAGAATGTTATTATTGGTTGTGAAATTTTCATGAGATAACTGCTCCCATATTGGAGATGATACCTGAAAACCTGTAGGCTAAACTCTTTTTATCACTCACATCATCACTAATCACCTAATAACCAAATAATCTTATGATAGGCTTATAGATATCTGACAATTTTCTTATTTTAATGTATCACCTGGAATAAAAACCTGATTGCAGTAAACTAATATCTGTGTCAATCTTTAAAAATGTCAGCCTTGGCAGAACACCAAATCTTTCCTCATTTGAATTTCCAGATATGAACTGAAACAGACCTCCCTGTGTGTGTTTCTGTCCTGCCACCAACAGGTGTCAGTGTTTCTTTGCCTTCAGTGTCCCAAAGTCTTAGCTCAAACCCACCATCCACCCCGTCCGACCAGTCAATCCAGTCTCCCTCCACTCACCCCAGGCGGCACACCAGCTGATTGAACTCAAGCAGGCTGCTGTAGTCATATATGTGCAGCGGGCCCCGTGATAAGCTGATCTCACGGTCGTCAAAGGACAGGTCTGTAAGTGGCAGCTGTAGCGCCCTATCAGTACAGAGGGAAAGATGTATGCAGATCTTCACACGAGTCTGTGTGTTTCGGACATCCAAAACAAGCACGTGCAGACAAACAGACGCTGATCAAAGACACTCGAGCAAACGCTCTTACACACACTTACTTGGCCATGAGCTTTCTGACATTATCTGCAAACAGAGCAGGGTTTTCCTTCTCCTCATCTGATGGAGTGTAAATAGGCAAGTACTAAAGAAAGAGAGAGAAATTCATCCTGATGTCCTGTCATGAAACTGTGTACTGATCGGCTATATAATAAATATAGTTACACTTATCACATTCATTACATTAGATGGACAGTATTGGTTTAATTCTTCTTCTGGCTCACTTAACCACTAACCTCTATCTCCATGGGATTATGAGGCTGGCAGAGAGTGAGCCATAGGATCTTGAACCTGGAAGATAAGAGAATTTGCTTTGTCTATACATGACGAGGAAGAGAAAAATAATATGATGGATGGAGACAAGACTGAACACTTAGTGCTAGAGATAATGGAGGTTTCCCTACAGTATCTTACCATGTTTGTTCTTAATGGAAAACAGATCACTGCTGTTTTAACGACATACTTAGCAGAGGGTGGTGGAACCTGTGTGTTTGTGTGTGTGTGTGTGTGTGTGTGTGTGTGTGTGTGTGTGTGTGTGTGTTATGGTTTGCAGTGCACGTAAGCGCATAGGTGTGTGAGAGAAAAACAGAAAGACTCACGCTCCGGGGCCTTGCCACGTCCATGTAACAGTATCCTGCGAAGAGGAAGGAGAAATAGGAAATGGCTCAAGACAAACACACAAACATCTCCGGGAGTCAATTTTTTACAACTTGTCGGACTGCCTGGAACTGCTGTTTGTTATTTTTGTCAGTTGTGTGGGTCCATGGCTTCTGAGGATGGCTGAAGACCCAGTCACATTACACATATTACTCATTACTGCTGATTAAGGCTGGAACTTAAACAACTATATTTCTTTAGGAAACTTAAGAAAGCCCAGGACAGAAGATCATTGATATCTAGAATCAGTGATATTGAGATGAGGTGCTTCTGTAGAGCCCGAAGGATACTAAAAGACAGCACCCTCCCCAACCACAGCCTGTTCACCCTGCTGCCATCTGGCTTCCAGTGCCGTACCACCATGACTCATAAATCAGTTTTTATTTTGTTTACCATAAAAGGAACTATATGTAAACTTCATTCTACAACATTGCGTTGTTAATGACAATGAAAATAACCTTGAATCCTTACAAAATACTGTCATACTGATAATAACAGCACATTTTAGCGAGTGTCTCAAATTACTCTTACATCATTAATGCTGCAGTTCTGTCACAGGATAATGTAACTTTCCGGGGAACTCCACTGATTTTACACATCAAAGTCTGTTTGCAGCTCTTGATGAGTATGAGTACTGCATGTGTGGAAGAGGTTGTATAAAGCCTTTTGTGGCTCCGGAGGGAGCTGTGTGAAGGAGATACAGTAAATGAAGTGGTAACATTGGTTGGAAGTCCAGACTACAAAATTAAAAAAATTAGGTGGTGTGGAGTTTGAAAGAAGTGAGTTTAACAGACCTCTGTAGTCCGCTACTCATATCCGCTTGAGGCAGAACAGTTCATGGTTACATTAGCTGCTACTAACATAATATACCTGAATCTCCAACTGAACTGTCAGCAGTCAAGTTGCATTTTGGGTCATGTAGGCACCAGGTTTTGACTAGAAAGAAGTGTGGAGAATAAAAAGTACAATAGCCCTGGTTCCACTGCTCAATTTTGATCATTTTCTTCTTCATACTTTTATTCATATGTAAAAGGGAAAAGTCAACAGAACACTAAACTGCCTTAAAATTAAATGCAACAATGTATTATTTTCTGCTCTGATCTAGACTAAGGAAACCAAACAACATGTGCGAAAATAGCTTCAGTGTGATAAAACAGCATACAGATAAATCCAATTCAATTCAGATAACATCACATTTACAAACTGCCTGTGCCGGACATCTGGGTACTTTCACCTGATGCTATCAGCTTCTCTTCATGCTTGTTGGTGTTGCATATTTGTATTGTAGATTCCAAAAGTTGAATATGTTTTGACTTGGCTCACTAACAAATAAGTATTTTGTGTGATTTTATTCCAATTTTCTTGCCTGGGTGATTATCACTGTTTCCATTTCCAGTTGCACATTTTCACTTTCACTCAGCTAAGTGAACAGATGGAAACAGATGGAATGGAAACGGTTGGTGGTTGTCTGGACGGGAATATACAAACTTTGGACATGTTACTCCGTTAGTGTGGTTTATTCAGGTTTTCTTTGCCTCACTTAACTGCATCGTGCTGCCACGTTGTCACTAAAGTCAGCACAGTGACTAAACTCCGAAGTGAAACAGTGACAAAAGCTTTCTAGGGAAACAGACAAGAAAAACTAGGTAATAAGAAGTGTATAATTCATGACAGAGTGAGGAGAGGTGCCGAGAGAGAGACATGATACCTGCGTGTGTCAGTGTGTGTCTGTGTGTGTGTGTGTAAGTGTGTGTGAGAGAGAGAGAGATTCAGAGAGAAAGAGGGGGATGAAATATCATCCTACTAGAACATGAAGTCATTCAACACAAGAGGAACACACACGAAAGTGAGGGAAAGAAACCATTACATCACAGGTGCGTGTAGGTTTGTGCACATGGTGTATTTACTGGTGGAGTCAGGCTGAGCTTGAACTATCATGTCCAAGGCTACAGGTATGGAGCAGGTATGGAAAGAATTTAAAGACAGTGTGTTTACCAGTTTGTTTGGGTAGCGTAGCACCACAGGCTGCACTGGGAGGCCTGGTATGAAAGCACCTGAGAAAGAAAAGAGAGGAGAGAGGTGGTGAGATGAAACTGTATTTACCGGTATTTGATTTTGATTTAATTACTAGATGCATATTTAAGTGGCAAAAGGAAGTACTACACTGTTTTGGTAACAGGGTTTTCTACAGATTTTAAGTGGCATGAACACAGCAGAGAGATACAACGTATTGGTCTTTTGTTGTTGTGTACTGGTTTAGATGAGCTCACAACCTCAGGATAACCTCCAGCCCTGGCAGACAAGCTCGATACGGAGATTCTATAATGTCCTGTTGATGACGGACGAGCTGATAGAAGCTACATACAGTATTAATCACTGGACAAAGCCCTATTCAAGGTACTGTTTGAGTTCTGAATAGATGAAAACTGGATACGAATATTGCTATAAAAATAAAGTTTAACCCTCAAGGGCCTAATTGTTTTTTAGGCCACTCAACAAGCTGTAAAGTTGACATGGCTAACATGTTAAAATAATTTCCTGTTTACACATCCAACAGACACAGAGAAACATTAGCATTTATATGTAGCCGTGTCTGTGCCCTGATCAGTCCAATATTCACTCTTACTAAATGCAAATATCTGGTTCTTTAGCTGCTGAATGCTATGTTCACTGGCAACTCTGTCTGCCTTTTAGTTGTGGAAAGATGTGGGTTTATCAGAGTGTGTTTACAGAGAACAGCTGCCTGGTACAGCTGGAAACAACAATGATAAGAGCAGTGAACTAAAACAATAAAGCTGCCGACCTCAAAACCAAAACAATAAGCTGAAAAACGCTACACTGCGCCGTAGAGCGGGAAGGTGAACTGAAGACACACATAATAATTCTCTATGGTTTCGTCACCCAAAGTGATTCCTTTCACACAATTAGTTATTGTAACAGTTGTTCAGCTTTAACTGATACTTTAATATTCTGAATATTTGATGAAAATATATTCATGATATACCTGTGTAAAAGTTAAATTGCAGTTAAAACTTTAAACAACACAAAACATTACACACAGCTTCAATAAATTTAAGAGAGAAAATCCTTGTGTTCGACAAAGAACCTCAATCATCAAACATGGATGACTGGCTGACATCTGATTTTTAATAGAACAATATTGGCCCCACATATTGTTCTAGCTGTACTTGAGACTGTGAAAGAACATGAAGGGGCATTAGAGTGATCACTGACTACATCCTCTTTATAACAATGTGACCACAGTAAGGGAACGGACAGCGAGAGAAGGCTGAACATGAAAGTGACGGCTCCACTGAAAGGCTGTTTGAAGACTGGAGGTATCTGCAGAGCACGTCATACACAGGTGGCACCATTCACATTAAAAGCACACACACACACACACACACACACACACACACACACACACACACACACACACACACACACACACACACACACACACACACACACACACACACACACACACACACACACACACACACACTGCTGCTCTGTTGTGCAGGGAGCCAGTGAAGAGACATAACTAGAGGAGACACATCCAGAGAGGACTGGTAACACACAACAGACAGATCAAGCTGGACAAACACACATACACACACAGTCAAACAAAGCAGGATAGAGTGTGACCAACAGGGCTTACTGGGAATGACAGAATTACAGACTGGAAGAAAGGGGATTAGACAGAGCAGGCAGGGAACAATGTCTGACAGCATAACACACACACATGGGATGTGGGCCGAAAAACAAGCCCAAAAAAGATTGGGTTCAACAGTTATGTGTCCCGTTGAGGTGTCCCTAAGCAAGACACTGAACCCAAACCTGCAGGGCCAACATGAAATTAATTTGCCCAGACATCTACACCTGGAGTTGGCAGCCATGCAGTCAACCCCATGCATAAATAATCATTTACAAGTCCAGGCACACTAAATGAAATGAATACTGAACAAAGTGATCACACGCAGTCTCTCGCTACTAACGCGCAGACACACGCCTGGCTGGAAATTACTGAGAACCACAGCCAAACACTCTTCTGAGCTGGGGTTTGGACAATTATTCAGCTTCTCTAGATAAAACCCTCATCTGGACTGTGGGTAGCTCACAATTTTCGTTAGGTACGAACAACTTTAGCCACTGGACAAAAAAGGTGTTAGTTTCCTTCAGAGTTATGTATATGTTAAATAGGACAAGAGTCGGTCCCAGTACCCACACTGCAGTATCAATAATGTCAGTCCTAAAATCAGTTGCATTACTGCCAATAACTGGACTGATGTGGTGCAGCAGACTGTGGGGAACTGAGGGACACATTGAGCTCTGAATACTGCTTTGAAGCTGTAGTAGGAAAAGTTCATGCTCATGTTTAGCATGCATGGTTTACATACATGGTCACCTTTTTGGTTTAGCCTGTTAGCATGCTAACATTTGCCAATTAGCACTAAACAACTAAGGCTGATGGGAATGTCATTTCTTAGGAGAACATTTTTAGTCTACAAGGAATAAACACGTGATTTCAATAAGATGGCAATACACACACACACACACACACCACACACACACACACACACACACACACACACACACACACACACACACACACACACACACAAAATCAAGGCTACCTTCCACCTAAAGCAGGAAGGGGACTGAACACATACCAGCCTTGAATAAGATGAGACCCGACCTGTTGGTGCACGTCCCCTCTGGAAATATCATAATCTGAAAGAAACAAACACACATTAAAGCATGCACGCACGCGCACGCACGCATGCACGCGCACACACACACACACACACACACACACACACACACACACACACACACACACACACACACACACACTCACACACACACACACACACACACACACACACACACAGATGCATCTGGCTCTTACTCATTGTTTTAAATTGGCCTTGATCTATGTGAACTGTGTGTGACTCTGTATTTATGCCATCACCTTACAATTCCCATGTGGTGTGAGCAGAGGTTAGATCAGTGTTTCTCTCTGTGTGTGTGTGTGTGTGTGTGTGTGTGTGTGTGTGTGTGTGTGTGTGTGTGTGTGTGTGTGTGTTGTGTGTGTGTGTGTATGTATAGAATGTGTTCATGCATGTTACCTGAGGCCACTCCCCTCCAGATCGGGCTCTCCGCTTGATCTCCTCGACAGTTTTTCTTCTGGAGTCCTGATCCGATCGAAACACAAACACTGGCCTGATGTAGCTGATCAGAGCTGGACGACGATGATTGAAGATAAAGATTTTGGATGTATGCCAGAACGAGAGAGAAAACTAAGTTAATCTTCAGAACCAAGAAGAAAAGCTAAAAAGGTGGATGCATTAGTGAAGTATCCCCTTAATTAAACTTAATTATTAGGATACTTCCAGTGTCCAGTGTGTAACATTTAGGAGGATCTATTTCTTTATGTAAGTCTATGAGTCAAAGATGAGATGGAAATGTGTATTACTTACTGCCCCAGACAGGAATGCTCCTGCTCTCCAGTTTGGTGACTATGGAGCACATGGTCATGGTGACTGGGATGGCATCAAAGTAGGAGGAGTGTGGTGCCACGGTGAGGATGGGAACTTCAGAGGACGCCGCCCGTTCCCCTTTCACCTTGATCCAATGAAAACCTCCGCAAAACCACATGGCTCGCATGATCACCCGTAGACACAGGTCTATAAACCTGAGAAAGGAAACACTGTTTTATAAACAGTAGCCCCAAAAATGACATGATGCTTTGATCTAATCTGTCTCATTTCAAATCGATTCACATTACTAGAGAAATTAAATCAGCAGACACCAATAAACAATCAGCAGATACAAGACTGTGGATGACAAAGGGTTTGTTTGTTTAGCTCCCATATCATTTTCACACATTTCTGTGTAATCCCATATGTCTTAGTAACACATACATGCTTTAACACTTTCCTACACACACCAATATCCACCGCACACACCTCCTCCACCATGACTGTGGCTCAATGACGAACTCAGAGCGTCCCAGGGAGGCTGTGAAGGCGAAGGGCCACGCCAGCAGCATGAAGAAGGACACCAGCAACAGCCGCACTGGAAACACCGTAACAGACATCAGTCCTATCTGAAGAGAGGGGGGGACATACGAACAGTCACATTGTTACCATTCCACTGAACCATTACCCACTGTACCATAATTTTAACATTCCTACTGTCACAATTATTACCGTACATTCCTACACTGAAGCATAATATGCCCGCAAGTCCTACAGGGTCGGAAGAAGCACATTCCACGTGTGCCTTCAGGAAGGAACAAACAGCCATCCTTCAATCACACTGACAGTCATGCTCTAATCCTAATCACACGTTCCTGGTTAGCAATCCCTCGAGTTTACGAGCTTAATATGCACCCAAATCAGTATATATCGACACTAGTTACGTGCTGTTGCAGGGGAAATATATATATTAGACTGTGTTTTAATCTAAAGATAAATAAACAGCAAATCAAAGATCCTTAAATACATGTCCACATGCAGTGATGTGTCTTAATTATCACAAGCTGATTCCGTATTGATTCAGAGCTCCACATAGCTCTGCAACAGATTAACCTCCACATAGATGCTATTATAAAAAGAGTAAACCAAGATCTGTGCGGAATTCCAAAGACAAAAAACTGCAACCTCTTCCAGATTACAGTAATATTCGGTATCTTAATACTATTAGGTCCCATCTTTTACCTTTAATGTTACTTATGATTGCCTTTCTGGGTTTTTTGTGATCTTTTTGTGACCAACTCTTAGACAAAAACACTTTCCCGCTCTCCAGTAGGGATGGGACAAAATCAAGATAAAAAACGCTATCTATCTACTACATACCAGTGGATAAGTATATCATGGTAAATTTCCACTATCAGGATAATTGTGAATATTCTCATGAGTGACTTGAAAAAGCTGTCTAGCTCGCTAGCATTACAGTTGTTTGTTTTTTTAAACTGTCACAAGGCGAGGCCAGCATTTAAAAGTTTAAAAGTTAAACTGGTTATGTGGAAATGCATCATGGAGATGAGGTGCCTCTCTGAGATGCAATAAAAAATATCTGTTCCTTAACTGAATGTAAAGTAAACTGATTCCATTATGTTTTTGATCATTATTGTGATAATATTATGAATTCATAAATCAAGACATTAACTTTTCATATTGTCCCATGTTTATTTTCCAGTACCACCCTATCCCATCCTCATGCCCATCAACTTCCACTGAACCTCTTGTTAAAGTTAGTTGTAATTATTATAAGGAAGTCCTTTCATTTCATGTTCCAAGGTTAAGAGGTTAATGTTCAAGGAAATCATTTACATAACCTGCTTCGATGTATCACAGATACGCATATACTGGACATACATAGATATATCACTGGTCTCTACATGTATTCATAAAGGAACATTTTATATACATTTCAAATAAAAAAGAATTCATGCAGTCTCAAGGAAATTTCAGACTTTTTCTAGTAACTCTAGACTCTAGAGCTTTAGTTGGGCAATATCTCTGCATGACATTGGCCATTCTTTTATTTATTGAGAGTGTGGTGTTTCCAGCAGCAGAAACCACCAGCCTTTAAGTGAGAGGGAGACCAGCTACAGGAAGACGTCCGGGTGTATGTTCAGCTCCAGTGCTGAGATTTACCTGAGAAGTGGGATCCTCAAACAGGGCGGAGAGGGAAGCCGAAACACTTTGACAGGAATGTTGAACCTCCAGGCAGTTCCAACCCATTTAGATTTATTTTTAAAAGCCTGTCTCACAGCCATCATTGTGACATGTACAAGTGTCCTAATTTGTCTTTAAATGCCAGAGGAAAATGTTTTTTGTTTTTTTTAAATCTGGCTTATTATAAGTCTTTTTTTCTGTGTATATTTTTCTGTGAGCACCACCAAATAGTTAAATAATAAAATAAATAAAATGATTCGCCAGGAGCCTCTTGATAAGGACGATGCATGCCAGGAGGTTTGTCCAGAAATGTAGGGGTTTGCTGTTCGTTATGACAGTATTCTCAGACAATGGCTTTGGCTTTTGCATAACACCAGTTAGGTTTTACTGTATAAATAGAAAGGTTGAAAATAAGATAAGGTAACTCTGCAAACAGTGTAGTGACGCTACATTCAGTCTGAGGTCATACAGTACAGTTTCAGTCCCGTCACTGAAATAAAGTGTGCTGAAGCCCGAGTGCCACAGTAGTCTTCTGACTGACCTGTCATGCCTTTTCTCTTACCGTGTAATGAGAGAGATGTGGTGTGTTTGTGTGTGTGCGCGTGTGTGTGCGCGTCTACTAACAAGGTCACAAAGTCACGGCCTCCAGTGTAAATTCAGACTGTGTGACATTTTAAGCCCCATCCTCCCCCTTGTGCGACCTCTGGGCAATCTCTTCATCCCGCGCTTTCATTGCACTCCCTAGCTCCCCTCTCATCAACCTCCCGGCCCTGCCTTACAGTAATCTCTGATCCCGGAGGAATTCCTCTCCTCAACTACCCATCCATCCATCAATCTTTAACTCCCCATGTCTATTTACTCAGCTGCACCTTCATTTATCATGCTGCACTCCCTTCAACTGTTTTCCTCCTACTTTGCATTGATGTGCTTTTTGTGACCACTCTGGGGAATCATATCTAACCCCCTCCCTTCCTGTCCCATCTTTCCTTTCTTTCCTGTGTGTTTCTCTCTCTGGAGGAGCCCAGGTGCACACTGCAGGGCTGTATTAATAAATAAACAGTAATGTGGGTGATTTATGATGCTCTAACGCCTCTCCCTGCCTCACCACCCCCATGGCTGACGCACAGCGCACTCATCATCAGAGCTTAACGAATCCATCTGGGAGGATCTGCTGACATTTTCTCAGGAGGTGGCATGAAAATGAGTTGGGGCGGGGTAGAGGGGAGCAATTCTTAGTGTTTTATGACAGCACCGGCCCATCTACCGCTGATGATTGGAAATTTGCTATAAAGATATCCTCCTGCAGTGCTGGGCTGGGACTTGTACCACACATCCAAACTCTAATATAAATGGAGCTTAAAAGTCTTATTCTCTGAGTGCAATCATTTCTTACTGTTACTTATCCAAATATAGCACTGAGCCCTCAAAAGCCTCTTCTTATATACAAAGAATGTTTTATTCCACACATTTTTTTTATTGTCATACTGCCTGCATTACCCCCAATGCAACTCGACTGCTGACTTGTCGGAGATTTAGGTGTGTTATGCTAGTGGTGGCTAATGTAGCCTCGGGCTGAGAGATGAGGAGCGGGCTACAGAGGTCTCGTAAGGTCACTTCCTTCTAACTCCACAACCCCAGATTTTTTTTCTGACGCTGACTCAAGTGACATAATTTAAGGCAATTTATCAGATTTCATTCAGCTCCCTTTGGAGCCACAAATACAACCTTTTCCACACATGAAATACTACTTCAAACTAAACGAATACTTCTACTCTCAGTCAATGAACCTGTCTGCAGATTGTTTTGTAAAGTAGTCCACCATTTTTAAGATTCAGTTCAATATTGTTATTAAACAAACAAAGTCTCTGTCAGTCCATCAGGACAAACAAGGCAGAAATGGTGATATGATCAGCTATTGACTCATTTAGACAAACGCAACAGCTAATTACAGATGAAAAACATTTTCAAAATAATGATTATAATTAATTTGTGTCATTATCTATTTTTTTATGTATAATTTATTTCAATATTAAGTATTTTGTGGGTCCACATGGTTAACGTAGTTAAAGATTAGTTATGATGAAAAGTCACCAGATTTGGGGGATAATTTTACTTTAATTTGATTTAGAGAGGATAAAAGTAATAACTTTGTGATATTATACGAAAGTGAAATCAGAAAATGTACAAAGGCACGAAGAAAATGTCTATTCCTAATGGTTTTGTAAACCAAATATGTCTTTCAACCTAAGGGTATGATTTGTTAGGCCACTCTGTTGTATGTAAAATATTCAGGAGAGACTGGAAAGCCGCGATGGTCCCATTGTCTCCAAACATGCAGAGACACACACACACCTTTTGTATGTACATTTGGCAACATTAAAGTGGTCATGGGCCATTAAGACATGGAGTCACTCATTCTACAGCTGGCCACTTCTGCTTTCTAACCACACAGACACACACACACACACACACCTTCACCATTTTTTCAGTAAATCTGAAACAAAGCCACTATTGACTCACTAAGAGATGCAACACAGATATTACAGAAAGTAATCAAGACATTATAGTACAGAACACACTGATGACCAAAAAGGTCAACTTCCTGGTGGCCCTAGAGAAAAAGTCAGGAAACATCTGGGAAACATGATACAGAACCTGTACAGAATTTGGTGTTGGTGCTATTCTATGTATCAATCCAAATCAACATTTGATTGAAATGAAAAGTTATTTTCAGCCCAGCAATGTATGTAACAAACACAGTTACATGCTTTTCCATAGCGGTGGCACATGACACCCAAATCCCCTGTGCAATGTGGCCATGCACACTTTTAACTGCTCCATACACCCTGTAGTGAAGGCTAATTGCCCCGAGTTAATTGTTTTCAATGAGCCAAGGGGAGTGTGCTCTGATTTCCACCCAGGGGCCCAGAAACCACTCAACATGTCCTTCTGTTTGTCATGTTGTTGGTGTACAGATGCAGGGAGTTAGGACATGCAGTCTGCCAAACAGAATCTGTTTAATCAAAGTCACATCTGGTAGATTTGTTTTTGCCAAGAAGAAAAGTGTGTCCTCGTGAAATTTACAATGGCTTTATACTTAATTTTTATAAAGGGATCCAGCTGACACTCGTTGGCAGCCATGTCTGTATGATGTTCACTGTTCAGCAATGTGTGACTCAGCTGGAATGAGCGCTACTGTCTGTCCCTTTCACTTGCTGACCTAGTTGGTCTACAGTGCTGCTGATCATGTTTGTGTGAAGTTAGAAAAATAAAAAAATCCAGGATGACCAAGTGCCAGGGGGAGGGATGTATGCTTATGCATCAAGCAGCACTTCAAAAGATTCCAAACACACACACACACACACACACACACACACACACACACACACACACACACACACACACACACACACGTCATGCAGTCACATAGATCTAAAGCCTATGGCGTCTCACTTTCTATTTTTTTTATCTTGAAACAACAAGACAGACCATACCAGGAGAGCAACAGAAAGAAGTCAACTTTTTGTTCAGGCAGAGCTCGTGTTTACATGCGCCACACATTTTTGTGAAGTGGAAAAACACACCTCAATGCCACATAACAAGCAGGAAGCGATAGGTGTGAACCAGGCACAGAAACACACACAGTCCAGCTTACATTCACTGGACTGTTGCTGTCATCTGGCACAGACACACAACTGTTTACAATCTACTGCAACCAACAAACTCACACATACAAATAAACCCATTTTCCAGATAAAACAACACCTGGGCGGAGGGGGGAGTGTAGATACAGCATTGTGCAAGCCAAATGGACGTGGCTACAAAGGCAAGCTAAAAAGCATGTAAAACCAAAAAGGCAAAAGCCGTTTGGAGATAAGTGATTCTCTGTGGATTGTAATGGTTGGGAACCGACTGTGCCGACAAAAAGGCCAATTTCCTGAACCTTGTGCTTTGTATGTTTTGCCCTGAATGAAAGCAGGCACCTCTGGGCCCTGGAGCTATGGGGAAACAGATAAACCTGATGGGGCAGAGCAGAGGAAGTGTACATCCTCCGCTTGTTTGATCGTGTGACGGCAAACAAATGAGGAAAAACACATCTTTGATACTTTCAATGCAATTTGCTTTAGAATAAGGTGAAGTGAGGATAATTGAAAATAATTTGGAGGTCATCTCACCTTCATTCCAAACTCTCAATTTAAAAATCTGCTTAAGATTTGCATAAAACTAGATAAAATGACCCATTTAGTAAGTTGGTTGGACCACATTAGCAGTGTGTGTGTCCAGGACAGTCATTCTGTCAGCAGACCCAACCAATCACTGAGCATGAGAAGCCATTGATCCATTGGTTGATTGATGTGGAGGCATTTCAGCCAGCCTGCTGTCCTCCAGCACTAAGAATCCATTGATTTCAATGGTTGATTTAGGATGTAGCCACAGCCGTAGCAGAATATCTCACCTACCACTTCCATGTTCACGTTTGGCCTAGAGCACACACCTTGCTTTAACGCGTACTTTAACATACGTATTAATACAAGTGTATGTGAGTATGCAGGAGGGTCTTTACCAGAAGAGAAGAGCCCTAATTGGATGGATCCTAACCTTGACTTTAATCCAACCCGAACCATTAGTCACTCTTGCTATCCTATCCTGGAAACTGACCCATTCTAATGAGGACTATCCGAGTACACATGAAACTTGGGTTGCTGCCAACTTGTTACCCTGTGCTAACACCCAAGTGTAAACACTGTGTGTGTCTGTGTGTGTGTGTGTGTGTGTGTGTGTGTGTGTGTGTGTGTGTGTGTGTACACATTCAATTGGATGAGTCAAAGGAAACAGCTAGAAACACAGAAGTGTAGACTGACAGAGGGAGAATGTAGGAGGAAGTCAAGTGCATGCTAACCTGTTCAGCATGTTATTATGACAGGCAGAGTACAATTATGTAAAAAAAAAAAAAAAAAAAACTAAAATCATGTGTTTCAGTTGGCTGGAGTGTATTTTATGCTTCCCATTGTCTACAGGTGCGCAGTTAAAAATCAAATGCAAATATCTGACGGACATGCAAATCTGATCAATCAAGATTCAACTCTCCTGGATCCACCCAGGAAAATGTTGGGCAGTGGCTGGCCCCATAATGTCACCACAAGTCTCAGATAACACTTTACAATGGCGCATATGGGGCAGCGTGGCAGTTACATGTAACTGATGACCAAAAAAATTATACACAGGAAACCGAACACTATTTGTTTCTCTCCAAAATCTGGGATAACTGCACTGGCATTTCTTTTATCTCTGTGCATACTGAGGCCTAAACAGTTATTGGTTCAAAACTAAGGAATATATTTTCCAGTAGGGGTTCCTTTTGACAAGATTTACCATAGATCTATCTCGGTTGTTGTTCTTCCTTGACACTCAAGAATAAAGAGGACAACCCCTACTGAGCTAATGAAGTAAACTCACAGCATGCATTAATGAAAGCTTTGCTGAACACATGTTTTTTCTCTTTAAACTGTGTGTTAACACAAATCCCCCTCCACTCAGAAATAGGCTTTTCTTCTTGCTCCTACAGTTGGATGTTTGAGCTTCACTGTGTACAATGATGTCTGTGCAGAGTTTGACACTAGAAGGATGTTTTCACATTCATCTGCTGAAAGTGGAAAGTTTCTCTGTGCTCAAAATCTGATTTTAAGGGGCGGGCCTATGAGCATGATTTGTGACATTACAAATAGTTTGGAAGTCAAGTCTGCTATAATTTGCAACTTGTACAGTGTGAGTAGCCTTCAGTGCACAAACACTGAGAATAAAGTAGGAGACATCTTGTGTCCAGCGGGAAAACTCTAGAAATGAACAAAATTAGCAAATTCATAGATTCTGGGATGTCTAATAAGGTAGAAGGAGTAAATGCCTTTTCAAGAAATATTTATTTATATTTATTTTGCATCAAAAACATAACAGACACACATTATTGTTAAAAGCCCACTATGTGTATTCATGTCCTAATACTTGCACTGACTACCACCAGGAAAACACTGAGTGACATTTCCTAGAAAGTGGGAAGGTTGAATCACTCCTCCTATGTTTGGAGAACTTCATTCTTATGTGTTTTCAAAGTTTATACACCATATCACCTGAGGGTAAACTGTCCCAATAAACAGGACACAGCCCTAACAAAGTGGGTAAAGTTTAGGTGTTGTACCTACACAACATACATATTACAGCCTACACAAGGGACCCTGACAGTAGCTTTATATAGTGTAACTACAGATCATTAAAGTAGCACTCGTTATCTGAATAGTCTTACCTTTATTTTCTCTATCATGGTGAATTTTAGCTCGTGGGTGAAGGGGTTTCTACCCACTCTGGAGGGACGACTGTTGGATGACTTCATGGCTGACGACCTGACAGCCCCTCTCCCACCAAAAAAAAGACCACCAAAGAAGAGTGGTGTATAAAACGTCCCGTAACGTCAGCTGAGTTGGTTATTTTTTGGCTTAGGAGAGTGTCTCCCTCAGCCCAGTCCACCCTCCTCCGCCTAGAGGAGAGACTGATGCTGGGAGGGGAGCAGCAGGAAGGCTCACCATCGACAAGCTGGTCAGATGAAACGACGTGACTTCCGGTTCTAACATTCAAAATAAAGCTCCGGGCTCGGTGGCAGCAGCCTGCATGTTTAACGTTATGGTGGAAAAACAATGTGCTCCATTGTTGTGTTTGCACGCCCAATTGTGCGCCACATGCGGGGAAATTAAAAGGCAAAAACAATTCTTTGGAGAGGTACATACAAGTTTGAGTGAGGGGAAGGTTAGTGCTCTAAAACTCTAAAAGCTCTAAAACATGCCAAATTCGCTTTATCTTTCACATTTGTAATAACTAATTGTGTTTTATTCTGAAATACCATAAAGATTACAGATGTTCATTGGCAAATACTGTGCATCGTATTCAGGCTTTTATTTTGAAAGAAATGGCCAAATGTGAAAATATGCACACGCCCACGCACACGCCCCTGTCACACATGTTTGTGTTTGTTTCCTTATGAAAATCGACCATTTAAACTCCTATGTACTCTACAAATACAAGTACAAATCTCTAAACAAGTTGTGCACTGGAGAAGTCACTGTAAACTCACAACTAGAGCTGTCCAATCTTTAGTCGATTAATCTATTCCTTTTCAACTATTAAATTCATCTGCAACTATTTTAATAATCGATTAATCACTTCCAAATTCAGCTTCTTCAATATAAATATTTTCTGGTTTCTTTAATCCTCTGGAACAGTAAATTCAATATCTTTGGGTTTTGGACAAAAGACATTTGAGGACATCACCTTAGGCTTTGGGAAACAAACAACTGATCGATTAGTCAAGAAAACAGTTATTAGCTGCAGCCCTACTCACAACACTGTGTGAATTTATGAAGTGCAGAATTTGCACAACCTGGGTGAACAAATGAGCTTATCTTTTTATAACAACATGAACCTTTTGAAGAGAAGTGGACATTTAATCCGAGCAACAAACACCACCACACACACACACACACACACACACACACGATAAGAGGGAGATGATAGAACTGAGACTGACTGTGGAATGAGTGTTTAAGATGCTCGGGTTGATTTGCCTACACTGAGATTCAGTTTGCATTTGAAGTCGAGTTTCCTCTTGCATTTGATCCACCCATCAAGTGTCTTTTATTTCTAGATGACAGCAACTGCCCATTTAATAAACAGACTTTGTTGTGTCTCAAAGCCACAGATGGAATATGGAGTTACTTTTGTGTCTTTATTATGCAATCAAAGGACTGGTCTGAGAGCAAATCTATCAACACTTCAGTCAAAACTAATGTTGTTTTATTTCAAGTAAAATAAATCTGTGATGAAAAACGTATCAATGTGGGTCAAACTTTTGTTTGCAAATCCAAAAGTGTTGATTGAGATAAATCTTGTTGGCGGGACCTGAAATATGCAAGGCATGTCCCTGTTGGCCAGTCTCCATCAGAGTGACATCTCGACAACATCTACTGTTAGTAAAGGAGAAAAGAAGCAAGAACGTTGTTTGGTGCATTTAGATTGCTTTTGTTTAACAATCTGTGATACTTAATGGGTTAAAATATATATTATTTTGTCAGCTTGTAGCTGCTAGCTTAGCTCAATTGACTAGTCACTTGCTTGTCATTGGTATATAATTGTCCAGGCTGCCTATTAGCCTGCATGTTGCTCCGAGTTAACTGTTTGTCTTCAATGATCTGTTAGTTTATGTTATATTTGTAGCCAGTTAGCTAATTCAGCTAAGACAAAATAATAGGCCTACGTACAGGGGCATAGGATGGGGGGAAAGGGGGACCAAGTATTCAGGGCCTGAATAGCAGTGGATGCAGGGAGGGGCCCATAGAGAATGCCTATGTACAGGGTCCAGAATTTTGTGCTATGCCCCTGCCTATGTATTTTTTAAAACCCATTCCAATATCACAGATTATTGAACAAAAGCAATCTACATGCATCAAACACCACATTCTTGCTATTAAAAGATAAAAGGTATGTGTAAACATACCTGTGAATTCTTGTGAATTGCCACTGAACACACTCCTCTGCCTGCTGAAGGTGTTGTGCAGAGGGTGGTGAGCGTTGTCCAGTATGGACACCAGTTTGTCCAGGGTCCTTCTTTCTGCCAAACTGCTGTCCATACTGGACAACGCCCACCAGTGGGCACACCCAATCCAGCTCCACTAACAGACTCAAAAACTCTTTCTTCCCCTTGGCCATCAGACTGTACAACAGCTCTTAGTCAAAGCAGGGAGGACAATAGATAATAGACAATGGACAATCTCTACCTTCATCTGCACTCCCTTTGCACTGCTTACTGTTTGCACTGTTTACTGTAGCTTCCGTGTTGTAAGTTAATTTTATTTTATTTTTCATTTTAGTTTAATGTATGTTTAATGTATGTTTAATGTATGTAATGTATGTTTCGTATGCTACTGGATACTTGAATTTCCCTCGGGATAAATAAAGTATCTATCTATCTATCTATCTATCTATCTATCTATCTATCTATCTATCTTGTCCTTTCCATGGACCATACATCAACACTCTCGCCTATGAGATTCAGCTCACCAGCATCACAACAGTGACTCCATTTACACTCAGTTTGGCATTGTGAACATTAGCAGTTGCAAATACATAGTCGCTCACTGATCCACAGATGAGATCACTCATTATCACAGGTTTAACTCTGCCCATATCACTAGCTCACAGGGCTAAGAACAGGATTCTGCACGTGGGGTAAAATCTTTGGAAGTTTCTGGCGTGTGTTTGGCTTATGGCAGGATTCTGTGTGTAAGTTATCAGCTCTGAAGCCACACAAGAGGCTTCTGGGATGTGTTTGTCCATGACCATTCAGTGAAATACTATTGAATATTGTCCAAAATTAGATCAATACCATCCTGCTGTGCTCTCCGGAAGTTAATTATACAGATAATAAGATGAAATAATATAGTATAAGACCCCACATGCAAGTGTGTTGTTACTCCTTCATCCTCCATCAGTAAATATTAACCTTTAGCTCAAACTATTTACATGGGGCTTCAGTCATATGCTCAGTGTTTGTTGCCAAACATCTATCAAACCAGACAGGTTTCCATGCACGGTTTGCATGATACAGTCCGTCACTGTTGTGTACATTGTGCTTTCTCTGTCTTTCAGTAATAATACAATCATACAAAGGTGGCCATAGACACTAGGATGAACAGCTAGTTTCTGACACGGCCTCTTAAGCGTGTAAGCCTGATAACAAGCCTGACAACTTTCAATACAAGCTTTTCTGCTTTCCTCAAACTTTTGTGAGTCAGCTTTGTAAAGATGCTGATAAAGACAGATCTGTAGGAACCACAGGGTGTATAGAACCATTTACAATGGGCAACAGTGGTTGGAAAAAGGGAGTCATGTGTATTATTACATGGCAGGTTAGAGCCTGTATTCATGTAGCATAGACTATGGCTCCCTCTTGTGGAAGAACAATGTAAAGGCATCAGACATAAAAACAGGTGAGATAAAATATTAGATCCAACCATTTCTATCTCATGAACAGGATAAAAACAATTACTTTTATAATAAAGTAACCCAATTTGCAGATGGTTTTTAGCTGTAATCTTAGCTGTTACTTTGTTAAAATTTAAAAATGACGAATAATTAAACTATGCAATGATCTATAGAGAAACAGCTGAATGCATTTTTATATTTCAAGTCAAACTTAATATTTGTGCATACATCTGTATTTTACAGTATATGTTCAAAGCTTTACTGACTAAGCTTTATTTAACAGAAAGGTAATACGATCATTTTGCAAGTTAAACTTGTTTCAAATGAATCGCATGTTAGCCATGCTTAAAATGTGAAATGTTGTGTAAGTTTCAGAAAATGATAGTTAACAGAATGCTCTAATTCAGTTTCTTTTACTATGAAAAAAATATGTATTTCGGGCTATTGCTGTTAAGAGGCAAATGGAAGAGGAGTTTTGCACAAACTTAAGCCAAACAATTTATTAACGCAGCACAGTTCTTCTAAATATTCACCATATCAAAGAAAACTTCTAAATCAACATTTTAGCCCTGCCTCTGCTTGTGTCTCGGATTTGTCTTGCAGAACACAAACAAACGTCCCCTCCGTCGAACAAAGAAACAGTCTTTGCATCGCCTCTTCAAGGCAGACTTGGTTTTCATCCCTGCAGAGGGCTGGACACAGGGAAGATGCTGACACTGTCCCAACAGAGACGGCCCACAGCGAGCAGAAGAGCCAGGCAAGGGCGGCTGGATGGAGCTGATTCTGGCTGATGACAGCAGCAGTGTGCGGGGAGCTGTGGTGAGGGTGCAGAGACATCTGTAAGCACCAGCTGCTGGTGAGGTCAGATTTAACCGGCTCATCTGGGCCACTTGGCAAATCAGGGAGGTAGCCAGGCGCTTCAAGAGGAGGGGCGTCATGGTGGCAAAGGCTGCGAAGGGGGGCAGAGAGAGAGCATTCATATCCAATTACAGGTGCAAAATGTGCACATTGTGCATACTGTACTAAATAAAACTCTACTTTCAGTCAGGGTTTGGTTGATGTCATGTTGTTCTAAGCTTATGTGAAAGAAATGCTTGTTCATCACATTACACAAATCTTTCTCAGACTAACTACTGCATGTAATCATACCCAACATGTTCAATTTAGCAATATAAACATAAGCACCCTAGTAGAGTCACAAGCTATTTTATGAATCATCAAAATGTGCAAACTATTCTACCCCTATATATCCAGATCCCATGGAGCCTAACAGCTAACATGTTTAAAAGCTGCCACAGTGTAACGACTACTGCCCCGTGCCACTGTGGCATAGCAACACGCCAAGGAGACGAGCGTGTCACGGTTGACCTGCTAGCGCCAATACCAGACATAAAAACGGCAGAAGTATTAGTTTCCAACATTACACAGTCGTATCACAAAATTTAAAATGTGAACAAACCCTTTTGAGATTCCGTGAAGGTTTAAAACAGGGGCTATGTCCCTGAATGTAGCGTGTTAATCGCCACAACACGACCGCTATGCTGTTCTTGCCTGGGAGGAGAGGATACAAGTGCTTCCGGTTTCCAATTGACTTTAATGCCCTCAGTTTGGCCTCTCAGGAAGTTTCCCTCTCCGGCTTTGTTCCGTTACCATTAGCAGAGCGTAAGTCCAAAATGTCTCACTCCTTCTTTTTTTTAATAATACATTCCTAAATATATGGACATAACTGGAAAGCCTGTTGGGGGTGATACGAACTATAGCCGTACTTTGAACCTGCGAGGCAAAACTCGGGAAGCCCAATACTCATTACTAGAAGCATTCTCTGCAAGGCAGCTTGGGAAAACAGGTTGTTGTAAACATGGCGGCCGCAGTGGGTAGACTTCTGTCCTTCAGTAAAAATGTTAAGGTGCTTGTTTCACCTCTGAAGCTGTCTGCTGTACCTGCTCACCGTTACAGCCTCGAGGTTTCCAGCACCGGCGAGCCCATCACTCACACCGGCCAGGTACGCTTCAAAATCCCCGTCGAGTCTCTACGTCGTTACGGTATTGCTGGGTGGCTAACATTAGCTTAGCCTTGTGTCAGTGTAGCTTGTAGGTCCATGAACTTGCGCCCATTATCGGACAACCTCTTTTCGTTCCCCTTTTACATTTGAATTCCTTCCATAAAGTTCATGTGTTTCTCTCAGGTGTATGATGAAAATGATCCCAGGAGAGCCAGATTCGTTGGCAGGCAGAAAGAGGTAAGAACTGACAAACAAGCATCATAAAGCTCAGATAGCTAATTTATATGTAATCAGTTACATCTAAGTTTGTTCTTGGAGGTGTAATAATGTAACAATTATGAAGCAATAAGACTCTCAGTGTGCATCACTGGTGTATGGAAATATGTAATTGGTCATTTAATTTATAGTCAACTACCCTGAGAGTGTTCGTGAACACTTTGTGTAGCTAACCTCTCTCCTATATAAACCTCATATTTTACTGAGCCGATAATGACAAAATTCCCATTGTTTGCGTCAAGGTGAATCAGAACTTTGCCATCAAATTGGTGGCAGAGGAGCCGGTGAGTGAGGTTGAGGCCAGAGTGGTGTCCTGTGATGGAGGTGGAGGAGCCCTGGGCCACCCCAAAGTCTTCATCAACCTGGTAAGAGCCTGCAAACACTAATATGATGAAAGTGCTCCATTTATCCATGGACAAAACCCCCAAGTCCAACCAGTGCCTTTATCGGCCCTTCTGTGACCACAGTGGCTGTTTAATCTTCGTTTACCATCAGCCAATAATTTGGTTGCTGTGAAGTGTTTTTCTGGTTTAATGCACATTTAGGTATATTTGAGTTTATTTCACAGGTATATTTGAGATTCAATCAATTCTTTAGATAATCTCAGAGCATTTAGTCAGATTGCAGACTGGAATACAATGAAACGCATAAACACCTGATCCAAGCATTATTATTCACTCAGTGATATTAGAAGACGCCAATGCCAACACTTTTTTTTTATTATGTAATGTTTAAGAAAATGGGGTACTGCAGAAGCCTGAAAATAACCAGGATACTCTTAAAGTGCATGCAAATGTATGATATTTGGACACATGTATTGAATATGTATATGAATGAACCCACTGAGTAAGGTGCTTGTATCTCAAAAGGAGAGTATTAATGTTCTTGCTTTAATAGTCAAGTGGTACATTACTCTGCTCTTTACTGCTTTTTGCACTTCTAGTTAGATACTAAACTGCATTTCATTGTCTCAGTACCTGTACTCTGTGCGATGACAATAAAGTTTAATCTAATCAAAATTTAGAATTATTCGACCATGGATTATGGCCTTACTCCGACAACTTAATCTCTAATGTTTCTTTTGCTGGAATATTCTGCAATCACTGTAACAGATTATGCAAGGGTCCCAAATTACAGCTTCTAACTCTATAATTTTCTGTCACTTTCTCCAGGATAAAGACACAAAAGTGGGCACATGTGGCTACTGTGGATTACAGTTCAAGCAGAAGCATCATCACTGAAACATTTCCTCCGTCTTTGCTTCTCTGTATAATTTGCCATATTGGTTAATAAATTATATCTTGTCTGTCTGTCTGAGTGTGCGTTCTTCTTTATGAAGCCTTCTGAAATCAGTGTTCCAACACATCTGCATAGTACTGTATGCGTCCACAATTAAAAGCATATGTACATATTTGTGTGACAACATGAGTGTTGTTTTTATGAGAGATTTCACGTGCCCACTTGATGGGACCGCTGTGCAGCTGAGTAATTCTGGGATAGTGGGTTTATTATTATGAAATGCTGGATGCAGTTCCCCACTGTGACAGGCAGAGGTCAGCAGTGTTCTGTAGATGTGCTTTGTTGTCCTACACTGTGAGGCTGTTGTGTACAGAAATAAAAGCCAAGTTTAAGACATGATCTTTTATTGCACAAACCAAAGCTATTTGTTTTTAGAGCAGGCAGTAAAAGGGATTATATGTAATAAAGCTTTAATTGTTCTGGACTATAATAAAACCGCTGATGAGCGTTGCACTGCACCTTAGAAATATCATCTGCTCTATTGTTATCTGCACGAGTGAGATTATTTATTTCCTGCATCTTGGAATACATGAATACCTGATGTCTTGTGATTGCAGTACTTTGAACTTGCTTTCATCAATAGGCAGGCCAGATATAGCTCATCCTACTGTTTACTGTAGAGAGAACCTTAGCATTCCTTGTGCATCGGCCCCACACAATCTGCGCTGTAGAGTCTCGCTCTGCCAAGCCTGGAAGACATCAGGAGGGAGCCAGCCTGATAAGACACAGTAGCGCGGAACAATACATGTTTGAAGAAGATCATATATATATTTCATCAGGCTTATTCTCCATAGACCTCTGCATGCCAAATTGGCCTGCGCTTGGCTCAGGCTCCAGACAGCACTAGCCTGTTCTGTCCCCAGTGATGCAGCCAGTGGAACTGCATTTTCCACACCATAGAGCTCAGGTTGGGAAGAGTAGTCAGGCTGATATAATTGGCCCTGGTGACTCCTGGAAGTGAGGCTTATGCTGTAGTTAACCTCATCTATAGTCAGACCACTTTGGATGATTGAAGGGGAGAGAGGTGTATTGTTAAAATGAGGCAGGCGAGCCGGGTCAGTGTCAGAGAGCTGACTGGTTGCTCTTGCGGTTGGTAAGTCTGAGTGGTTCAGAGGTGGTGGTTGGTTGAGTTGGAGGCATTGCCGGGGGCAAAATCTTCAGATGAAACTGAGCATATGAATTGTGCTGAATTAAACAGTGCTGTGTTTTTGTGCTGGATTTAACCGCAGCGTTTAATTATTCACTGCTCTTAAATGCACCGGCCAGAATAATAGAAAATCCTTTAACATCATATATGTCAAGCAACTCCAGATTCTAAAGTTGGATTTGACCAATTTGCAGACAGACTCATTCATGGGTTCCACCTTAAACTGTCAAATCACCTGAGGGATCTATGGCTACATCCAGTTACCCACTTTCTTTCTGCATAATATTGGATAATAATTGCAAATGCAACTCTTAAGCATATTGTGACCTGCTCTGTTGGGTCAGACCATTCAGACAAAAATAAGCTCAAATGAGACTGTAATCATATTGAAAATCTCTTCACTACTGAGCCACACAATAGATAATGGAGTTAAATGCCATTGAATTCCTTAACACAGCACCCCTCCACAACAATCACTCACTCTACACAAAACATCCTCCTCGTCGCCGTAATTGCCCTATTAAAATATTTCTCCTTGAAGATGTGTCATATTACAGACCCCCAGGCTCATTATGGAGCTCCCTGCAGCCAATTATCTGAACCTCCATGTCTGGAAGCCACTGTGACCAAAAAGAGCTCATAGGCAGATCTGGGAGCAGCCCGTCCTCCTCAAATCCATACTTACTGTACGAGAGGCAACACAGAAAACTGACCTTTGGTCGTTGTCTCGGGGCGACTCCACTCAGCTCCACTTTAGAGTCAGGTGACAGAGCTTCTGACCTTTACCATGGAAATAATGACTTGTTCTTGTGCCAGGAGCTCAGAGGGTTACCGCAGGGAGCGAGACACCTCTGGCGACATGTGACAGTTTTTGGAGGAGAGAGTTTGCACTCAGCACTTTGATAGCCCCGGAAACCAAAGTGTGTGTGACAAGACGCAAGAGACTTAGAACTGTGTGTATATGTATGCCAGGGTGCGTGTGTGGCTGTGTGTGTGGCTGTGTGTGTGTGTGTGTGTGTTCGTGTGTGTGTTCGTGTGTGTGTATTTGAGTAAGCGGCAGAGACACAGACAGTGTTGAAAGGAAATAGGTGTCAGACGGAGGGTGCAGAGGCAAGTAATTTGAAGTTGTCAATACTTCCTGTGCAGACATTACATCTGAAATCTTAAAGAGTAGAAGTGATTCGGAAAAGAGGGCCACAAAGTACAGATTGACTGATTTGAGCAATTAATTTAAGCAAAACATTCATGGGTTACTTTTTTGAGTTCTGAGTGGAAAAAAAGTCCCTTGCCTATCAAATTTGTGTCAATTTTCCCATAAGACATAAAAGGCCAAATAACTGCTGGTGATGTGAGCCAGACAAGTAAACAGCAACTCTAACATTCCCCGACCTGTACAGCAACACACTGAGGCTTAATCACATTATATGGCCCAGGGAGCAGGCCTTCGTGTCAGACTGGCTGTTGAGTGGCTCACTTGTGTGTCAAGAGCAGACAGAGGTGAGGTGAGACGAGTGGAGGGATAGCGGGAGGGAGGGAGGCAAGACGAGAGGGGGATGGGGGGTTTGGAGGACGGGGAACAGGATTTGGGTTTAAGGAAGGAAACGAGGATGAAGAGAAGATGGCTGGAGGAGTAAGGAGGGAAAAAGTGTGAGAGGTCAGTGGAGGAAGATGGATAGATGGTTAAAAGGGATGGAGGGCAACCTTCACAAGAGGAAATATAAATTAACTAGTCAAAAATCTGTCATAGTCCTGGTTTTGACAGTGTTTTGCAACATAATTGTGCTTCACTAATTATAAAGTTCACACCACCATTTTAACATTTTCTTTAAAAGGAATTATTTGGAAGACCTTGTAGTGTGATTTAATAATTTAACAGTAAAAAATAGATTTTTTTGAAGTTTAGGTTGACTGTACTTGCATCAAAAAATATCCATTTTAAAATGTTAGTGTTTTGTCAATTACTAATAAATAAATTACATTTTCTGCAAACACAGTGAAATAATCACTCCATATGAAGAACATAGACAGAATTTGGGGATTCTCTCAAAGTGACTATAATGAATATTTTTATAATAGCAATGGATAAAATGATCATGTGTAATATGTGACTTTGCTCATAAGGATGAACCCACAGAGAATTATCACTCGTGTCTGTAATTCCCCTCAGCTACACAGAGATCTGTAGCGTCTTTCATCTCATTGTTTTGGATTTTTGGGCTGCAGCAGGTAGCAATTCTTTTCCAGAACTGATCAGAAGGACTAAACAGCAGATAGACACAGGTAACTGACTAGCTGGTGAACATAGTGGAGTGGCTATAGAGCCAGATATTTTTCTCAGGAATTGGTGGAGACCAAAAACAGAGCAAAAAGGAGAGGGAATATTGGACTTAGCATCTATCGGGTATAGAAACTTGCCTCCAAATGGTTCAAATAAATGCTATTGTTGCTCCACGTCTGCTGGATGTGTAAACAGGCAACTGCTAACGAGTTCACCATATCGTCTTAAAAGGTGATAATATGTTAGTGTTCGCTTATTTCCGCTGCCCACATGTGGCCCGAAAAAAAAGAGCTTTTAAAGTTTTAAAGATCAGGTTAAGTCTACTCTGAAATGTAAAACAAAACAAATAATTTTGGTGGATTATTGATGAAATAAAAACTTAAACTGAATGAAATAACTACATGATCATATTACAGATTGGTGTGATTCTCTAAAAACAAATGCCATTATTTTGAAAAAAAACGAAAAGGGTAGAACACTGGATTCAAGAAAATTCTTAATTTACACTGAAAACATGTGAACATGAACCTTATTTTAACTTTTTGTATCAAAGTTAGATCAGATTTCATGCTTAACACTACATTGCAGTGTGTATATGTACTTTTGCAGTTTTCCCCGTGCTCTGCACCCAAGAGACAAGACATGTTTCAAACAGCTAAGGGTGAGAACAAGCATAACCTTATATCTCTTAACCCTACTCAGCACTGGGTCAACCTCTTATCTGACTGCCAGTATCCTTCATGACACCACCACCTCTTCTTTTGAAGTCAAATCCACCTCAAGATTTTTTTTTAAACGAAACAAAAATTGTATCATTTCTAGTGCATTAAACTTAGATAGAAAAAAAGGAAAAATTTGAGCTAAAATATAAAAAATATATTTGCAGCCAACCACAATGAGATCCTGTCGGACAGCGAGTGCAAGAAAGAAAACTTTACAGAAATAAGAAGTCAGATGTCATTATTTATCATCTGAAATCTAACTTATTTATGAGGCAGAAACAGAATGAAATTCTCGGTTGAATTCATCCTGAATTATTTAATCTGAAATGGTTAATTCCATACAAAGCCCAGGCAGATCCCTCCTCTGTTCTGATAAATACTTTATCACTATTCCTAAATCGAAAAACAGGAGGAAGAGAAAGACGGGTGAAAAAAATAACTTCGCACTGTTTCTTGTTGTGCTTTGTTTTAGAAAGTGTTGCTTTAAATGTTTTCAGTGATACATTTGTGAAATTTTCTTTAATAATTGAAGTTGATGGAAATGTATTTTTCATAAAACAATTTAGGCCTAATGATGCCAGCCTTACTTCTCTGTCATTGATGTTACTTATTCTTGGTTGTATGAAAAAGTCACCGAAGTGGATAAAGATGTGACACTTACTTAAAATTACTTAAGAGGTTTTATGAAGCATTTTGTGCGTGGTGGATTTTCTTGCAGTCCCAGGTTGACAAAGTCAAAAGCCGCCTAATGAAAAGGGACGCATCGCTGATTGCAGCTATATCCGGAGCCGAGGTGGAAGTGGCATCGATTTAACAATTTAGCAGCACCCTCCTCTGTGTGTTTCCATTAGTCACGGCTGAATACCACCCACTTCCCCCCTTTCACTCCCTCAAAACACACGCACACACACACAAACACTAACACACACACACATATCCAAAGCTGCGGAGGTATATTCCACTATTCCTCAACAGAATTTACATCATCTAAACTGATACCAGTGGTTGCAGCACAGTGGACAGCTAATATGAGGGCACACTCAGAGAACTTTGCCATGCTACGGAATACACCTTTTATTTTTGTGACTCAGTGCATGTGCAGGCTATAGTGCAAGTGTACAATATTGTATATTTTTCATATGTGTGAACCGTACAACCTTGCTGCAGAAACATGTGTGGTGACAGTTGTTTGCTCCAAGACATTTGACTATTAATGGGGCCCATATGTGTTTAGTTGGAAGAGGGTTAGGGCCTATCCAAATACCAAAATAGGATCATAAATTGTTAATTGACCATTCGCTAAACCCCTACCCCAAATAACAGTTGTTTAGCAATCGTAACTGGGCTCAGTTTCTATTAGAGTTTTGGCTAATGTTATGTCCTGCTCTTTAATGGATGTGGGGAAGTTTACACTCCAGCAAACCAAGCCAAAGTTACCTGAGATAGCATTACATTTTCCAGATACATTGGTTAGTCTTCTACGGGGATCATCAACTTATGGATATGCTGACTTTTTGCCTAGGCCATGAAGCTTTAGCCTCAGTCTTAAAAGTCTGTGAAGTATGTAGCCAACAAGCATATTTAAGACCCCTTTGTTACAAGGTTCAGGTTTTATAATGAACTCATTCAGATAACATTAGCTTAATTTGCTGGCTACATAGAGCTAATAAACTCTGCCACCAAAGTTTTCATTTCAGATGGCAAAATTAACTTGTTGTTACAAGTTAGGAAAAAGAAACCTACTTTTGTCTGCCTCTGTCTAGAATCCCATTTTTTCAAAAATGTATTGGTAAATGTGCCAGCATTATCACTGTAAACTGCATATGTGCCAGAATGGAAAGCTTAGTGGGGCTTAGCGAGTGGTCAATTGGTCACAACAACAAAATATAGAGTTTTAACTCCAACAGTCTTTGAAATATTCCGTCGATGGTGTGTAGGTTGGACTACAAAGATGACGTAGGCCTAACAAGTTCAAAGGATTGTCCAGATGTTCTGCTGTCTATCACGGCATCATTTAAGCCTTTCCACACCTCAGCTGGTTTGGGCTGTTGGAAAGGAGGACCGTGGAAAACTCCATCCACCCATTCTCTGAGCGTAGCGACTGGTGATTCCTGTTGCCTGTCTGCCTTGGTTAGCGCCATATTTGATGGATACCCAGGAGAGGAGGACCCAGTTGACGACAGCATACAGGGAGGGTATTCTGGCTGCAAGCTGGCATCCAAAGATACAGCAGTGTGAGCAATGGACCAAATTTTCGGCTTGTTATCTCTGCTTCGGAGGTCTGGATTAGGATAGAAGGTGTTGTTTTGCTGTTGGACTGGTGAAAGTTTGGGGCAGTCTGGGGACAATCTCTCTTTTCCGTGCAGTGGGTCTGGGTTGTGTGTGAGATGCCCATGTGGGAGGTCTGTGTTTGGGTTTGCGTCATTGTCCTCGGAAAGAAACTGTGGCTTCGGTTCACAGTCAGAACCATCTGACTCCAGAAGGTCGAAGTCCTCAAGGTCACTCTGCAGGTCTGCACACTGTTGGTCTGCAATAATGAATGATATGGATAACACTAAGTCTGTGCACGCTAATCAAACTTTGGGCAAACCTTGAAACATGCAAAATTTGCTGACAGATTGATTTAGGTCCTGCTCACCAGGAAGGTCTTTGTCATTTTTAAGTGGCTTCTCAGCTTCATCACTGTCATCATCACAACCTCGGTCATCAGAGCTTTTACAAGCCCGTGGCGACCACGTCACCTTGTTCTCCTTCTTCAGCCTTCTGCGTGCATTTGCAAACCAAGTAGACACCTGAGGGAGGGAAGGAATGAACAGGTGAAGACAATATACATGAGTGAAGAGAAGACAAGGGAAGGAAGAGGCAAAACATTGAATAGAAGAAAGGTAGGGAGGGAAAAGGGTAAGAGAAAATGTGAAATAAGTAAAGCAAATAATTGAACGCTGCCGGAAACTGATTGAAGGAAAACTAAACTTGCCACCCCGAGTGCCCTTAAATCTGTAATATTTTGCTAAAATCTACCTGGGTAAGCGTCATCCTGGTAATGATAGCAAGCATTATCTTCTCTCCCTTTGTGGGGTAGGGGTTCTTCTGGTGTTCCTGCAGCCAAGCCTTTAGTGTGCTGGTGGTCTCTCGGGTGGCATTTTTACGACGGGAAGCGCCGTCAGAGCAGGAGTACCTGAGCCAAATGGTGAGAATGGAAATTATATTTAGCTACGCCATACCAAAAATAAGACATTTGCCATATAGAAAGGCCTCTCTCAACTATTGACTTTAAATCACATATTAATGATGTCTTATGAGACGGACAATAAAGTACAATAAAAGAACATATAACACTGTACCAGTTCACTGGACACTGAATCCCAGTAAAGATATAATAGTTAGTGTGTAATATGTAATGCTGCCAAGACAGTAAAGAATATGAGGTCACTAAGAAGTTGCTAGAAACACTAAAAATATTTTTCATCAGGGAGTTAGCAGGCCGAAGTGGAGGATGTCTGATGTACAGTTTTGAAGTGACAGCATACAGTTTAATTTAAGAAAAATAAAAGCACTATCAATATGCAGACTTTGACTTACCCATATCTGTCATAGGGATACTGTCCAAATGTATATTCATAGGGATAGTAGGCAGGAGTCTGAGATGTCCCCACATGCACAGATGCAGCTCCGTCTTTGGGATCTAGTGGCCCCTGGAAATATTTGCAAATAACTGATGTAAGTACATGCTTAATCAGAATCATTAAAATATTCCAACATATTTTCAAAGGAATGAACTCTGATACTAAAGAGTGACTTAAATCGTCTGTGTTTACTTTCTTATTAAATGAATATAATATCCCTTTATCACTCTAGAAAATGTGCATCTTCACAATAACAACAATAACAGGGTCACTATTTATTTTTCAACCTTTCTTCCCTCGCATGTCTACCAAAATTAGTGGCAATGTGCGCAGTTACGCATTTTTAAATAAAGGTAAAATGTCAATAATAACAAACTATAAGTGAAATGTGAAACTTACTCTCGTATAGAGGGCGGTGGCGTCGCTGGTGCAGGTGTTATAGTAACCTTGGCTCTTTGGATAAGGGCCGCTGTACACTCCAATGCCGGTGCCAGAGGTGAGCTGGTGGCTCGGGGAGCGCAGCACCGGGTGTGACGGAGGAGTTCCCGGCTCCAGACAACCGGCCAGAGAGCTGGAGGTCATCAAAAACTTTGGCACGAAAATTGCAGAATTAATCTTATTTGTCCCATTATATCATCAGTGAGAAATATTTTGAAAGGTATTTTTTACACTACCGAGAAAAAGTTGAAAAAGGTATTAAGATGTTTACACTGCAAAAAAGTCTGCATTACAAGTCTAGCTTTTCAAGTCCCGTGTTCTTTCGTATTTCTTTTATTCTTGTGATCTGGGTTCTGATTTCAGATATTTTTAGAAGAAAAGTTGGAAATGCCATGAGAATAAACACTGGCGTGCTATTGATGTTCTGAAGATAACAAGTTACATGTTCGTGGATATTTTGACAGTGTAGCATTCTATAATTTATCATTTATAATAACTTTAAGGACAAAAAGAATACGCTAGAAACACTGACTGTACCTGCGGTGTGGTGGAGTAGGAGTATCCCAGCGGAGAGTAAGCCATGGCTCAAATGAGATCAAAGAGACAGAAGCAGGAGCGCAGATCCGGGGCGACATCCAACAGCATCCGTGCCAAGGGTAGACTTTTGCCTCTGACACTAGTTCAGAGCTAGTTTGCCAGTCAACTTTTCCGTTTTTAAAATGTTGATATCATCTACCACCTTATCCAAATGAGCTCATGCAGACAATTACGCACCACTTTCATTTTACGCATCACGATTAACACCCTTAAAAGTAACTTCTTGCAGTTCCGTCTCATCCACCCAGCTGCTGCAGCTTCTTCAGTACCACTGCTATCTTACAATCCAAAGCGAGTGTGTGTGTGTGTGTGTGTGTGTGTCTGTTTGATCAAACCATGCATCTCCCTGTGATGCGCTCTTTGGTTTTAAGGCGCGTCTCTCTGACGTCAGCCCGGACTCTGTGTGTGTAGCCCGGTGTTCATATCAAGATGAAGAAACTCACCTAATTAATTCCCTCCCAGTTTTCTATCAGCTCTTATCCATGAGAACAGCTCCACGCACGCGCAAGTGCAACCCCCCCCAACAGTCCCCAGGCATAATGAGAAAGTGATCAATTCTCCTTTCCAAATAAACACACACCCACACAAACACACTCCTACACACACACAGTGCTATGGCCAGAGGGGGGATCAGGAACGTGATGCCTTGACACCACATTGACACGAGATGATTGATGACTACAACCTGATATTAGCATAATCGTTTTGCCCTGTAGTTTAGATAACTTGTCACCGCGGAGAAATCTCCCTGTCATCCACATATTCATGAGTGGGGAAATTTCAGGTCTCCTCCAAGCAAATTAATCAAAGAATAAACACTCTCTGCATTCCCTTGAGTAAGCACCTTTACCAACTGAATGGCTTGTCATGTTTTTAATAATAAAGTCTTAAGCTGTCCTGTTGAAGTGGAAACATTCCTCTAATTTTCTTTTCAATCCACCTTTAGATCTTCATTCATTTTTTATGGAGGTAGGGGGTGATGAAGACCAGGGCAAGTGTAAAAGGCATGGGGAACTTGTGGTGTTAAAAATAATTGAATACATTTGTGGAAAAATGGCAGAAGTAAAGAATTTTAGGGGTAGAGTGATAAGAGACACAGGAACAGAATTAGGGACTGTATGAAAATTATTAGTGGGAAGAAGGGAGTCAGAGAAGGAAGAGGTATTTGTCTTTGGTGAAGGGAGGTTAGTTAGCTCGGAAGGGTCTTTTAATTTGGTCCTCATCCCAGATTCATCGTTTAAGGTTTATTGTAAAATTCAAATTGATCAAATGGTTACATCACAAACCTGGGTGTCAGAGATATTTGACAGTGTGCTTTGGAAACTTCAGACCAACCCTGTCTCCTAGAAATTATGTATATTGTTTTCCTAATTACATTGTGATGAGAATTATAATCGTTGGCTGGTTTATGTTTGGAGTCAATCAAGCACTACATCTGAGCGCAGGACTTCGTCTCCAGAGTCCTGAGTTTGCAACCAGACTGCTGTGAAAGCTTGGTCTGCGCAACAAAAGCACTTTAGTTAACATTAGGGAAAGACTGTGGTTTCAGGTAAATGTTAAGATTGCAAGACTGAATATTTTTGGGGGGGATACAAATGAAATATGTTGTCAGTGAACATTTTACTGATATGTTCACTATCAGCAGGTTTTCAACTTGACCAATAGTTACTTAACAACATTTCCTCATTATGTTCATTTTAAGTTTCCATAAAAAAATTATTTGTTGTTTCAAGTTTGTTGTATGTAAATGTAATTTCTAGGAGACAGGATTGCATATTGGGTGCGATATAACATGAAGTCCAGAGAGCAGCTGCCTTTTCACGATTCAGTCATTCTGTGACTGTTTAATTAGCAGCTTGTTTTTATTTTTTCCATTATTTTGAGATATTTTAAAGGGGTCTATAGAGTTTATTTTCTAGGTCAAGAAATGGGTCTAAAGAAAATGTTGATAATGTCAGGGAGGTTCTTTATTTTTTATAAAATTAATATAAGAGTCATCTCCTCTCCCCACCTTAATCATTTTTGTACAGTCCCTTATTTTGGAGGACGTGGAGGGGAGAATCAAAATGGGAAATCCATGAGAGGTTATGAAGAGAAAGCAGAAATGAGTGACAAAAGGAGAGACAGGTAAGAAACTTCAGGAAATCCAACATGAAGAAATGGATGTGGAAAGGAGGGAAAGCCTAAGGAGGCAAACTTGGGGAGCAGAAGAAATCGTTAATAGTCAGGGGATCTGAAATGGAGCGAGGGGATGTGGAGGGGTAAAAGGACAAAATATTCCCAGTGCACCCGGAGTAGGGCTGGAACAACAGAGCTGCATCACCAGAAAGCATCTCGGGCCCCACCGGGGAGAAGGCATCTGTGTACCGGAGCTTGATTGACATTCCATTTGTCCCGTGAAAGGTGCTCATATACTGAACACGGACTAACTGTCTCTCCCTCATCTGTGCTCAAAGCTTGGAAATGAAGTTATCTCCCCACACTGGCGTTGCACATTTTCACACAAAACACATGTCACTCACAGAGAATGGCAATTTGTTTAGCCACTGACAATGAACATGACTTTGTTTAATCTTGGTTTCATATAGTTTATGTGGAAAATGACTTGGTGAGGTATAGATGAATGAGCAGACATCGTTGAGACAGGGTTTATCTCCCAAGCTTTTGTTACATTTACAAAAAGAATATAAAGCATTGCACATGGAGGTGGATAGATTATGTTATTTCCCTCTTTTTGAATATTCAATAGACTCCTATAATATTAATATATAGTGTGTTTATAAATTTATGGCATTCCTCCAGTATATATTTCTTAAGGCTCTGAGTTCGTTAGACCGTGATTATATCTTTCTGATCTTGCTCCCCTAGCATCAATCATTCATTTAAGATGCTCCTCTAAAAAAAAAAAAAAAGAAAGAAAGGAAACACATACTTATTCTCTCCTTCCCGCATCCAGCTCTAGCCATTATGCAGTAGGTGGGGCATAGGGGTTAATGATAGAAGCATGTTAATGTGAGAGGAGGAGGAGGGCTAGGCAGAGCGGAAAGTGTTTGGAAAAGAGGGCCAAACAACTCCAATCACAAGTTCTTTCAATCACAGTGCGCCGCATTTGAATATTGTCTACCTTAAAGTCTGAGATCTATGCAATTTTAATCACTGTTTAACATGTAGATGCTTTTTGAGCCTTCGTCTTGGGTTTAGCTTTTCCACAAAAATATATTATCGGGTGGTGCTGAAGAGTGCTTCCAACAATCTGAGTAAAAACATGATTTTATTGTTTTCATTTTGGCCACTTAGAGTGGAGAGGAAATGGTCCCATGAATAGTCTTCTGGTAAAAAAAAATTATAAATAAAATAAAGGATTGGTTGATATTTGGCAAAATATGCTCTTATTCAATCTCATATGTGTTCAATATGATTCTAATCACTGGCAGCCCGCTAGCCTAGCATAGCAACTGCCCGGCAGTGTAGCCTGGTGATGTAAAACTGACTATATTATGCAAATAATGTCAACAGAATTGGAAGAAAAACCTCCATTCATGCATTATTCCAAGAGTCACATCATTGAAATCCTAGCCAGTCAATCAGGTCCTTTGAAATGAACTGAATTAATTGCATTAGTGCTAAAATAGGGTTTTATGTCAGTTTGACTGCAATTGTACCTTTGCAACTATTTTGCCACCAGTTTGTTGACATTCTGTGTTGTTCCCCTGTAATTGAGGTTTGAACAAAATGATGTAAATATGGCATTAGGTGCCGGACTATTTCTCAGCCAGCATAGTGACTTCCTGGAGTCCATGCTGGTTGCTTAGCAACCTCAGAGACAAGACAAGACTCTTGGAAGTTACACGAGATATAACATATTAATTGGTGAGCCAGGCTAGCAGTTTCCCCCTGTTACCAAGCTGGTTAGCTTAGCCTAGCACATACATAAGAAAGTGGTATTGATCTTCTCTTCTAACTCAGACTATAAAAGTGATTCTCAAAATGACAAACTGTTTCTGTAACGTCCTCTTTAAAGCGGACAACAACAAAAGATAAGACAGTTATCCATCTAACGTCTGTGTGCTTTGGGATCTTTGTTAAAACACTTCGTCTGCTCACAGCGTTTATACTCATAGAGAAAGAAGAGGACAGAGGAGGACAAGCAATAAATGGATCATGAGGAAAGAAAATAGCCCTTTCTTTTCAACACAAGACACGACCTACAGCGGCTGTCTCTTGTTAAGCACAATAGCACCGACCGAGTACAAGTGCAAACCAGGCTCGATCTGATCCACAAACAAGGCTGCCAACACCGAGTACCTGTCTGTCCACTGAGCAGCAGCCATGCTATCTGCTGCTCTTCTGCTCCTGTCTAATAAGAGCCTCATGGAAGATCTTGGAGCTGCTGGGATACTATAAATGCCCTGGTCTTCCTCATCAATGATGTAGGATACGGGAACAGAGACAAGCTAACCCTCTTAGCCGCTGTGCAGTGTGCGAGTGTAAGTGTGTGTGTGTGTGTGTGTGTGTGTGTGTGTAAAAGAAGTGGACGGAGACAGGAGAGGCAGAGAGGGAGACAGGTTTAGGCTACAGGCAGCTCTTAAGAGTGTGTACAGTTTGCGTTGAGCCCTGAGAGGCCAACCGTATTCCTCCCTATCACTTCCACTTCATTACTCCAGGAGCGGACATACATTATTCAGCTCTTCAAGCCTCAGTCCACAGGGACTGATAGAGCCTTTAACAAACACTTTAACCTATCTTAACTCTCTCACTGATCCTCTATCTGTTTATTTGTCCTTCATCTCTCTTGGTCTGCCTTGATTTCTGTTCTTTTATATCCTCCCTGCTACTATAACTAATTTTTTGCCTGTTTTCCAACCAGTTGTTTTACAGTTTCTTTATCATTGGTGGTCTGCTATTTTATTGTTTCTCTTGGTGTAACCCTTCCTTGTGTTGACATTTGTTTTACCTCCTTGTTGTGTGGCTTCCCATAGACCCCCCTGCTGTTGCAATTGCAAAATCAACCAATTTTTTTTACTTTTAACCCGCAATTGTGCATTTTGTGGCCACGTGGGGGCAGCACTGACATATCATATCATCAACTTTTAAGTTTGGTACAGCAAACTTGTTAGGTCAGTTACACATCCAGCAACAACATTATTATTCATTTGGAGTCATGTTTCCATCCACCTAGCAAATATAAGTCCAATATTCACTCTCTTGTTTTAGCTCTGTGTTTGGTTTCTATCAACTCCTGATGGAAATATTTGGCTCTTTAGCTGCTAAATGCTTCAATATGTTCACCAGCTACTCTCTAACTGTGTCTACCTGATATGATTGTGGCTGATCAGGAAGTGTACATTGGGTTTTTGTATTGTATTGTATA